ATACCAAGTGAAGTAAGTAGGAAGAAGGACAAATAACAGATGGTTTCACTTATATGTGGAGTAGAGAGAAGCAAAACAAAGGGTGTCATAAAACCAAAGCAAAAGCAAACCCTGGAAATCTGACTGTAGAATTGAGGCTACCAGAAGAGGATGAGTAAAAGGAGAGCAAAGTAGGGAGGGGGCTCAAAGGATTACAATTAGAGAGATATTTTGATGGTTGGCATGGTGTGGTAACATACATTTGAAGACATGTACACCTATACTCCGCAGTCATGTTTTTGTAAACCAATGTTACTTTAATAAAAAACAAGGAAAATTATTTTTTGTTATGGACTAACAGGTAAAAATGTATTTTAGTATTGTAATCCATGTTCTACCCTCAATGATTATAATTTACATTGAAATTAGCAACTAGCTCATATTTGCCATAACCCCATCAGCCCTACCAATTTCATTCACAACTATATTCTATTCTTTTCACTTTGGAACTGTATTTGAACTTGGTTTGAAAAAAAAGTCATTGATTTAATGTAAAAGCAGATACAACATTTTCACTTCAAGTGCCTTCCACTGGCAAAGGTTGGGACTATCCAAAAAAGTTAAGCAAGCACAGTTTAAAAAAGGGGGAAACTCTGACAAAATTGTAATTCTAGGTCATGTTGACCACATGGACTACACCATGTACTCATGCTAAGTACTTTCAAGGCTAATACATTTCCATGCATTTAGTTTGATATCATTATAACAACCATAACTGTTTCCAGGTAGGATTAAAAAATTTAAAAAAAAAAAAAACAGGAAAGAGAAAAGTCAATATTCCCTAAAGGAGAAAAATATTTCTTTGCCATGTTTACTTGACTCCTTCTGGCAAAGGCTGTTAGCAGTTGTACCACACAGTTCAACCCGAGCTTGTCTCCAGAAAAAAAATATATATAATTGCATCTCAGAGATTTGGTTGGAAAATCTGCTTTTGTTTCCAATGCTTGTCTCTTTTCAACCACGTTTATAAGCATTTTCCAAGCACTTTACGAGCATTCTGCCTGCCTCTCCACACTCCTAAATATCACCCTCTGCTCCCTATGGCCAGCCATGTTTTCAGCCTTGGCCAAGGAATAAAACATTGGTTCACCTCAAAGACTGCCATTAAATTTACCTCATTTATTGACCAGCAGGAGGTGCACCCACCCTACCAGGGTCAACATTAACTATAATACTGTGGAGCTCATTGGCACCCCAGACTGCTACCCTGTTTAATGACTGTTGGGCCCCTCGGGCCAGGTAAAGTCTACTGTTGACATATTGGTGGCAATGCCCTTGGAACACCTTTGATCCATTAGTTTGCTCTCTCTGTTCAGGGATGTATTTTATTGTGTGTTGAATAAAAATAACCAGATATGGAGAAGTGAAGGAAACAAAGTGAACTCCTACTGAAAGAATAAGCCATTTATACTTCCCTGCAGTAGATATCAGGGCCTATTAGCCCATTAAGTTTAAGGAAAATAAGGCCTGAGTCTCTGCTCTCTGGCTAGAGCCACCAAAGTGTCTCTGTTGCCATTGAGGTGGGCACAGTAAACTGCCATGGACCTGCCAGCTCACTGAAGAGTGCCCCACTGTGAGATGGCCTTCTGTCATGAGTTTCTTTGTTTTTCCTCTTTGCTTTTCCTTGCTTTGCCATTCTGTGGATACCTGAGCTCTCTCAATGCCATGGCTGTGTTGCAAACTACACTGGGTGCTAGGATGCTCTGTTACATAGTGGTATCTGTAGTTATGTTTATATTTTTAATTGGTTTGTAAAAGCTTATGTTCAGTGTAAGGGGGAGAAGGAAGTTTTCTTTCTCTCGATGAAATTAATTTTATGAAAATGTGCCTAGTGGGAAAGCCTGCATATGAGAATAGTCATTTCATCCATAGACTCCCAAAGGCTATGAAGAATGATCCCACACTGCCATTTTACCCCGCCAATATGCCTCCCACGGCCCCGACCCCCAGTGATCAGGTTCAATGTTCAGGCCTCTCAAGTCTGAATGCTGATTCAGTCCCTCTCACTTTGCTGCCAATAATAGTTCATTTCAGTGCCAAATTTAGTGGTGGTTTCTTATGATGTGGATACCTGTCCAGCAGGGATTGGACTCTAACCACAAGCCACAGAATAGCTGTCAGATGGTAAATGCTGATAGTTACTACTCGCCAGCCTCAACAGCCTCCAAGAAAGAGATGTTCGTATCCCACAGAAATTCTACTGAACAGCCCCATTCCACAATGAAGCAAATTTTGACAGTATATATAAATTCCCTAGGGTAATATTCAGTGTTTAATCTTCACTTCTTTAAAAAACACAAAAATAAAAGCATTAAATAAAAAACAATTCCTGTTCTCTCCCCTACAGATTCCTTTTTTCCTTCTTGTTTTTTTGTATTAATGATTTTCTATTTTATTTACTCTTACATATTTTACTATAAAGCACACCAAACCCTATTGATCATCAGTGGGAACTAATTTTTTTTTAAATCACAAGTTATAGTCATATATTGCTTTCCTCTGTTAAAGATACTTTTTAAATATTTTCCTTACAATCCTTTTCTTCTGTAAACAAAGTCCCATTTTCCTCTAGTTTTAGAGAATAAAAATCTAGATGTCTACCTTGGAGTAGTGCTATGATAAATATTTGAATATAAGTGTGTGTGTGTGTGTGTGTGTGTGTGTGTGTGTGTGTGAAGGAAAGTAGTCAGATATGTTTCTAATGAGAGTGATTCTTCATATTTGGTCTGGAGATTGAAAGCACATTCTCTGGGAAAGTCAATAAAGTCCTCTCAATGTGAGAAGACTTTTTAGCTCATCATATTGGCATAGATTTATTATTTTATTAATTAAATTTTTTTCTTACATCATTGTAGCCCCCATAGTTCTCCCACCACTCTATCACCCATGCACCATCACCATATCCCCTTGTGTTTAGCCCTCCCTTGTTTTGCCCCCTCCCCCTTTGCTGTATGCCTCAGTTCTATGGTCAGCTTGCTAGTTTAGACTTCCCCTGACTTTTTGTTTGGTTTCTCTATATTCCACATACAAGTGAGACCATCTGGTATTCATCATTTTCAGAAGTAAAACAATTAATAATTTAGAAGGTGATATGCTTCTTTTAACTGAATTGTAAAGGAAAATGTAAAGACACTTTTTTAAAGAATAAGCATGATTCTTTATGATATTGTAGCTCAGAAACAAAATATATTTGTAAGACTTTTGTATGTAAAAAACTCAGTCTTCTGAGTTTGCAGCAAGTAAAATTAGAATTTTAGAACTAAACCCCCCCAGGTTTCATGTGGTAATGACTCATTCATCTTAGAAAAGAGGAGAGTGAGGCCCAGAGAGATGGGGTGAACTGCCAAGGTCATGCAGTTGAGTCAAGACCTTGGAGGTGACCTCACACTGCAACCTCTCCACTCTTTTCTCAGTAACTCACTGTTACAACTATATGGTAAATGCTAAGTTATTGAGATTTGTCTGATTCATATGACAACTATCTGGCTTCTCCCCTTTCATCTCCCTTGTAAAAACTAAATTCAAAAAAACTATGATAAATACAGTGTTGTAAATCAATGTTACCTCAATAAAAAAAAAAAAAATACAAAAAAGATTACTATCAAGCCCACTGGTTCCATAGATAGGCTACCAAGCTTGCTCTCTGAACTTCCATTTACAATGCCCACTAAATACTAAAATTGTACATGTAGCCACCACACAATTTCTTCAAACATCTAAACCTAACAATGCAAATTTTACCTGCAGACACAGAAGGCATAAACAGGGGACTAGCTTAAGTTGCCATAGACCAAACTAGAGAACAATCAAATTTGTTTGTATGTTTGAGGGCTAAGAGTAGGATACAAAATACCCCCCTCTTGATCCAAATCTAGCTTACCAAAAGTGTCTTGGAAATAAGTGTGATTTAGAATGAAACACAACCAGTTTCTGATAATCATTTCAATTGCTACGTTTCCTTGGACCCATTTTCAAAGCACTTGAAGCCCCACACGCAAATTATCCTCTGAAAAGAAAGACTGCCTTTGCTGGCAAGTTTGCTGTGCAGATTCTGTGGCAATGGCAAAGAGACACAATGTATTTTTAACATTCTTGTTTTGTTCTCCTCTTAACTGACACTAGTAATTTTAAAAATGTTGAGGGCGTTACTGAATATAAATTTGAAGAAAAATAGCTCTTCAAACTATATTGTCAGAAGTAGGATGAATAGTCAATCAAAGTTGAATTAAAAAATTTAGATTATATATGTAGGCATATGCTGTCCCCAAAACAGACTCTTTCTATGATCCTTTCCTCATGATGTGGCATCCACAAGAATCAATCTTCGATTTACATCTGAATGATAGAAATCACCCCATACTCACTTGAAACCCTTTCATTGAATTATTGAATTTCAGAGCTATGGGTGACAGTTGAACTACCTCCTTTTGCAGAAAAGGAAATAAGACCTGAGAGCAAAGCAATATTCCAGACGTTGCCGGATATGTTAATGCTTTGTTTAAGCATCTACATGCTGGACCCTCAGCTGAGAAATTCCTGCTCGTAAAAATGGTTAACACCATGTCTCATGCTGAAGTTTTCTTCAGTGTTTATATTTAGCTATTCATTCTTAACTTCATTCTCCTTTCTCCCTCCTTTCTCCCTCTCCCTCTCTCCTTCATTTATAACATGCTAGCCATTGTGATGAGCTATGGAATACAAAAAGTGGAATATATCCATAACAGACAACACAGCCCATTTACAGAGAAGTCTGACGTGGTAACAAAGAGGTTCAAACTCTAAAATGACTTACAATCTGCTACTCTGTGAGCCCCCACCCCAAACTACTTCTCTAGCTCTTCTCTCGTGCTCTCTATGGGCCAATCTTTTTTTTTTTTTTGTTACTTCATCATTTTTATTTAAGTGTTGTTTATATGGAAAAAGTACTGATGTTTACCATCAGTACTCTTGTCCTTAAGTCAATGGAGATATTTGAATGTCCAGAAATAATAGCTTCAACTTTTCTGAAAAACAGGAATATCCTAGGATTTTGCAGTTGTTTTTGAAGGTTGGAATTGTCCTGCTTCAAAATTTTCTTTGAATTTTAAGTAGTCTCTTCTTTTATCAAAGTATTTTATCCACTGCTGAGGACAACTTGACTCAAACGAGCTTCTTAACTTCTTGCATTGAGAAGAGTCCCCTCTGTTCTCATCTAAACACTTCCAGTACTCATCCCGGGCTCCCCAGCAAACCTGCCTTTCTTTCATAGATGGGGCTGCCATGGCTAGTGGGCTCAATCCTTGCGAGTTACCGTTTGCAGCCCGAGGGGGCTCTACGGGCCAATCTTAAGAGATTCTTCGGGCTCCCTGAATGGATTCTGCCCATTTGTGCCACGCCATACATCCATTTCCTGGAATATTGCTCTTTTCCTCCTCCCATCTTCATTTGGCTGGCACCATGGCATCCTTCCAGTTTCAGTTTAAATGCCTGTTTTCAGAGAGTTCTTCCTTGAAACACAAGACTACAATTAGCCTCCCTGCTAATTTGCAAATATTTGTACAATGCCACAACTCCTCTCTTTACTGGTGAGTTCAATAAGGGCAGTGATAAGCAAGTGACATATTCATTCTTATACAATTCAGGATTTGACCCTCAGTACAAGTTCAACAAACACTCATTGAATGGAAGAATTTGTTTTGCATACATGGGACTACAGATGTAAGAGGAATCAATTCTACTTGGAGACACAGTCAGTGAATGTCATCCATATTTAACATATTTGAAGACTTAGGATGAATTTCATAAAATCAAGTAGGTATATAGCAAACCCAATTCCCCATCCTCCAGTCTGATAAAAATAAAAACCAGTAAATAAGACTAGTTTGATATAAACTATCAATGCTCCAATTATTTTCCTAATATAGGCCCATAGTCTGTATCTACAATTCTGAAATCCAAAAGGATATCTGAAAAGAGAAAGTCTTTTGTAGTGTGGGTAGCAAACATGATCTTAATGAGCCTGATATTATAATCTTTATCCTTTCTATATGGATATTCATGTTTGACTACAGAAATATCAATGTTAATCTTATGTAGCTCACTTTGCATGAATATTTGCTCTGCTGCAGAAATGTTTGGTTTTGAGGCTCCCCCAGGGTGCTGTGTAATTCTAAATTTGAAACAAGCTTGGTGCCAAAAGTTTCTGAGAAATGAATATGAACATGAATTAATTTACCATTTTGTGATTCATTCAAATGATTCCATCATAGTTACCTCTCATTTTTCCTATTTTCTCCTCTCGATTAAAATTTTCCCTACTAAGAATAACAGATGGAAAAAATATAGAATTTTAGGGCTGCAGTCATAAGGCAGCTCCACATGGGCTGTCGCTGGAACCAATGTGCCCAGGATCCTAAATGAAGGTTCAGAACCAACAGGTTTTCTTCAAGATTCATTAAAAAAAAAAAAAAAAATTACCATTTCTGAGGTGGAATAAACATGCCCAACTGCTTCATTTTTAAAGGGAAGAGAAATGAGGTCCAGTGAGGCCAAGTTTTTGTCGTAGGTCACACAGCACATTCATGGCTGAGGTCTGCCTCCAATATGCTCGCTTTGCTCCTTGTTTAATGCTCCCTTTGCCCTTCATGAGGTCATTCAAAGAACAAGATGGAAATATTAAAGGTGGAACCTAGATAATCAAGAAGCAAAGGAAAAACTAAGATAGTTCGACTATTTGTGTTTTCTTGGGTGTTCTTTTTTGCAGTGAGACTGATCCCTGGGCAGCAAAAAGGCAGCAACAGGAGTATCACTCTTTTGGATAAGTGGGCAATATGACTGAACAGGAATCTGTGAGAAATGGGTAGCACATCTGAACAAATTCCTCAGGAAAGCTAATGTAGCTAGGTCTAGAGGAAATTTGGAAAGAAAGACTTCAAAGTGTTCAGAGATGACACTGCCATTACCCCACCATGAGCCTCCAGAAGTCAAAATTAGGACAAAAAGGAATATATATCTAAGAAGAATTTGGTTCAAGAAACTTTCTAGCAAAGTCAGTTTTAACAATGAAAACATAAATGATGGGACAAAGACTTTAGCAGGGACAAATAATGAATTCACAAAGCCTTGCTCTGAAAACTGGAAAAAGTAGTATTAAAAGTCCCTGTGTTCTTTTGAGATATGTTTGAAGACTTGAGTTCAATTGTAAGGGAAGCAAAAACAAAAATAGGGCCTCCCCTGGTGGCGCAGGCGATTGAGCACCGGCTGTGAAGCTGTCCACAGCCTCTGCATCACAGGTTCGATCCCAGCTGGCTAGCGAGGGTCCCACATGGCGCAGCAGACCTCTCCTGCCTCACTTGCTGCTCCCCTCAGCAGTGTATTTCGTCAGTCTGCCTGTTCTGTTCCCCACTCTGTCTCTGGTGAATCCTCTCACCCTCCCGCACATCTGGCATATACACCAGTTCTTGTATAAATAAATAAATCTTAAAAAAACAACAACAAAAAAAGACAAATGGACCTATATCTAAAACTGCACAGAAAAGGAAACCTGCATCAAAATGAAAACAATACCCCACTGAATATATTTGCATATCTAATCTAATAAGAGGTTAATATAAAAAGCATATAAAACTCAAAAACAACAAAAATTCTGATTAAAACATGGCAGAAAATCTAAATAGATGCCTCTCCAAAGAAGACATAAAGATGACCAATAGGCACATGAAAAGATGAACATTATCTCTTATCAGGGAAGTATAAATCAAAACAACAATGAGATAGCATCTCATACGTGTGAAAATGCATATTATATTATCCAAAAGAAAATAAGCACATATGGGAGAAGATATATAGAAAAGGAAACTCTTACACATTTTTGGTGTAAATGTAAATTGGTTGGCTATCATGGAAAGTGTTATAGAGATTATGCAAAAAAAAAATAGACATTCCATATGATCCAGTTATCTCACTTTTGGGTATTTACCCCCAGTACAAAAACTCTACTTCGGAGAAATATATGCGCTTCCATGTTTACTGCAACATTGTTTACAACAGTGAAGAGCTGGAAACAATCTAAGTGAGCACTGAGAGAGAAATGGTTAAAGAAGATGTGATCTATACCTACACAATGGAATACTCCTCTACTCTAAAACAAACAAACAAAAAAAAACCCTAAAATCCTGCCATTTTCATCAACATGGGTGGACCTAGAAAGTATAATGTTTAGTACAGTAAGTCAAAGACACACACTCTTTAATTTTACTCATATAGGGAAGATAGTATATAGAATATAGGGGGAAATATAGGGAAAACAATCAAGAGATACGAGCTAAATAAAGCATAAATAAACTTTTGGACTGAAAGACCAATTAGCAGATTCCAGAAGGAAAGGAGAAGGGGGGCTGGTAAATTGAGTAAAAAGGGACAATTGTATGGTGAAGGATAGACTTGAACTTTTAGTATTAAACTTAATGTAGTATATAAACATGTTGATTTTTAACTCTACACACCTGAAACTTACATAATGTTATAATGAAATATTAGTTCAATTTTTAAAAAGGAAATACTTAAGAATGAATAAAGACACAATAAAGATCCTTACATATAAAAGGGAATTTTTGTTATTGTAAGGAAAAAAGATTATAAGAGAAATCCATTTATCTCCTTGAGATAATGGTAAAATGTTGATGAAAGACTGAAAGGTAGGAACACTTCAACTTTTGAAAACAAGAGTGATTGGTGCTAAAGAAAGAGAATAGAAATAGTCAGACCAGAATTGAATTCCAACATAATAGAAACACTAGTGTCAATAAATGATTGCAAGACCCTGGTGATAAATGTAAGAGGACAAGCAAAAGATTTTGCTCTCCAGCCAATGCTGCCCAGTCATGGGGTGATAACTATTTGACTACCTTGTGGGAGTAATGACTAGAAAACAGAATGTGTTTCCCAGAAATAAATAACACCTGTTAGGTTTATTTTTTTCACTAAGGGAGAAAATTGGTGGACAAAGTCAATGAGGTTATGAACAAGATGAGTGAATTGTCTGAATGCTTTCCAGTAAACTGATTATCAATCAGCTGAAAAATCAGCGCTAACCAATAGCACCACAAAAAGAGGTCAGGGGTTTCTTAAGGTGCCTAGTTCTAAGTTCTGTCATTTTCCAAAATTTTATTAGAGAAAGATGGTGGCAGCAAATGCTCATTTGCTATAATGCTAGTCAAATGATAAAGAAAAAAATATTCCTGGCAAAGGAGAAGCACAGGATGGTTTTGACTATGTTTTTTTTGTCAAGCTATTTCTACAATCCATGAAACCAGAAGTTTTACACTAAAAACATGCGAGTTTGATAAACTGTTCACCCAAACTCCCACTACACTTACCTCTGAGTTACCTACTGTAAATCATATTCATATTTTGGCAGGCAAGCATCTTGGAAATAGAATAGATTTTAAAAGCACTGACTTTTCCATTAATTGCATGACATGAATGGCTTTTTTTTTTAATATCACTTGAATAACCACAGTGGGAATTTAAGAGCAACCCACACATTTCCCTTCAATGTACATGTTAAAAGGCCTCTGTGAACCCAAAATTAAACTCACACTTATATGGACAATTGATCTATGACAAACAAGCGAAGAATATACATCGGCGAAAGGAAAGCTTCTTCAACAAATGTTGGGAAAACTGGACAGTCACTTGCAAAAGAATGAAACTACACCACTATCTCAAACCATACATGAATATTAACTCAAAAGACTTGGATGTAAGACCAGAAGCCATAAAATTCCTAGAAGAAAGCAGAGGCAAAACACTCTACAAGAATGGCTTCAGAAATATATTTGGGGGACTCAACTCCAAAGGCAAGGGAAACAAAAGCAAAAATAAATGAATGGGGGCTACATCAAACTAAAACTAAAAACTTCTGCACATTGCAAAGAAACTATCACTAAAACAAAAAGACAACCCACTGACTGGGAGAAAATACTTGTATATCATACATCCAACAAGGGGCTAATATCCAAGACCTACAAAGAACTCTTACAACTCAACAAAATGAAAACAAATAATACAATCAAAAAGTGGGCAGAAATTCTAAACAGATACTTTTCTAAAGAAAACATACAGATAGCTTTCAGGCATGTGAAAAAAAAAATGTTGATCATCACTAATCAGGAGGAAATGCAAAACAAAACCACAATGAGATACCATCTCACATCTATGAGAATGGTCCTACAAAAAAGACCAAAACAAGAAAACGTTGGCAAGGGTGTGGAGAAAAGGGAATACTTGTTCACTGTTGGTTGTAAAGGAGGATGATTCAGCCT